TATTAAGTTTTTCTATAAAAGCTTCATATAGATGATGTGGATTTCTTCCTAGATGAACTTTAACCAGATACAAAACTTTTAGAATTTCTCATCTTAAATACCAATCATCATCATTTTGAATATTTATAATTCTATTATTATATTTTAGCAAAGTTTCAGATAAAAGTATATAGGCTGTAAGACTAATTAGATTAAAATCAACTATTTTTATATTAAATTCTTCTATATATTCTAGATAAGTATCAGTCATTTAATATATTATTTAATTCTAACTATCATACTATTACTTGCTTATAAAATTTTTTCTTTAATTAATTATTTTCTATTTTTTTATTTTTTTGATCATAGAATTACTATTAAAGGTAGTATTTTTAAACTTATTAAAATAGTTCTAGCTATTTTTCTTTTTTTTTGTATAGCTCAGAAAAAATATATCACTAGCTTTATATTCATAACTAATTTTTATAAAATTAATTTGTATTATATTTTCTTACCCTGCAGATCAATGAATTAAGAAGGAATTGAAGCATTAATTAATTATTAATTAATCTTTTGAAATTTAGTGATAAAAAAGTAAGATAATCAGTAAATATTCTTGCCTATATTTTAGCAATATTGAAAATATTTGTAGGAAGGTTTGCATATATTTTGAAGGATATTAATTTCATTAAAAAGCTAAAAAATGAGTATCATATTCTAATTGTAGAAAATTTACAGGCTTTACTTATACCTATTATATTAAAAGTTATTATATTACTTAATACTATAATAAGCTTTGATCAAAGATATAAGAAGGTAATAAAAGATCATTTTGACTAGTTTTATACTTTAATTTTAATTAAAATTTTGAGCATAATATCTAATAAGTATTTGTTAAATTTTTGTTAAACTTACTTTTTATATTTTTTCATTAAAATTTTATGATTAATATGCTATTTGATAAGTTAGTTTACGCAAAATCCATTCTTGATTAAAAAAAAGTTGAGACAATTTTGTAAATTTTTTTTGAATTTTTATAAGGAATTTTAGAACTATTTTTGTTAGACTTATATATTATTTTATGAGTTAATTGTATAGAGACACTTCTTAATATACTGCTTTTTTTTTGTTAAATGTATAAAATTTCTGATAGAATAGAATCATTAAACTTTTTTAAAAAATATTAAATAAATAAACTAGTCCTGTAAAAATAATTCTTAATATACATTTTTCATTAGATATATAAAGTTCCTAGTAGGATAAAGTCATTATATTAAAATTTTTTTCATTAAACTTTATTATAAAATGTTATTTGGTGAGTAAAGTAGTTTTAATTATAAATATTTTGTTAAATTTATGATAAGAAAATTAGGACAATTAGATTTATTTGTAAAAATTTTATTAGATTTATTTAATTATTATACTATTTATTGAGCAAACACATATAAAAATAAAAGTTAATATATAAATTTTTCTATTAGACTTAAGAAAACTATTAGATTTATTTATGAGTAATAAGGATTGTTAGACTTATTTTTGTTAGACTTAAGTAATTAATAAATTTTTAATGAGCTAATTCACATATAATCAATTTTTGATATATTAATATTCATTAGATTTAATAAATACATATAACTAAAAAGTTGATATAGAAATTAAGATTTTAAAGCTATTAAAAACTATTCTAAAATAATAAAAAAATTAATATAGAAATTAAGATTTTAAAATTCTTAGAAACTTTATAATATAATATAGAAATTAATATTCTAAAGCTCTTAAAAGTTCTTTTAATATAATAAAAGATTGATATAATTCCTGAGAAAGAAAAGTCTACACACAATATTTCAATAAAAATTTAGACTTTTGATCCTAAAATCTCTATTTCTATATTATGTGCATTTCAGCATTTTAATTATTAAAGACTAAATAGTTTCAATTTCATTATATGACTAAATATTTTAGTTTTACCTAATATTATTAATTATATGATTTTTTGATTCTATAATATTTATTAGTATAATATATTTAATTACATTTTAAATAGATAAATATTATTAATAATATAGTCTAAAGAAATTATTATTACTTCTTTTATTAGTTTTTTCTATAAATCATATTTAAAATAATTAAAAGAAATAATAACTAAATATATTTTCTCAAATTTGAAGTTAAAAAATTATATTTTATCAATAATATAATTACTTTAAAACTTATAAAAAATTAAAAATAATTATAAGATTAGATTAATAAAACTTATTATGAAAATTTTTTAATTAATATATAAAATTAAACTAAAAATTTTTATCAATAAATATATATTAAATAATAAAAGTATTACAAATTTACAATATTATATTGTATTATATAAATTATTTTTTTTTAAATAAAAGTATTTTTAGTTAAATCTACATTTATTTATAATATAAAATAATTTTTTTAAATATTGATTTGTTTTTTTTTTAATACTTATTCCTATATATTTAACATTATATTATACTGATATTTTTTATATATTAAATTATTAATTAGATAATTATAATAGTGATAATATAGTTATTTTGTTCATTATTTTTTTTTAAAATTTTTTTATAATATTATTTAGAATTATTACATTAATTTTTTACAAAAAATTTAAAGATATGTTAAATTTTTTAAATTACTAATAACTGTAAAGCTTTATATTACTAAATTAAATTATATGAATGCTTTGCAATAAAAAGAGAGGAAACTAAAAAATTTTTTTACTTTTTAAATTAAATATTATTTTTTTTAGTAAAATAAATCTAGAATTAATATTAACTCAAAAAAAATTTTTTTGATATTTTTTTCCTTTCTACTGCAAAGTATCTATATAACTATTTATAAGAGATATAACTTTTAAAATATTTTAATTGTAAATAATTTATAAATAAAAATTATACTTATTATTAGACTATTATTATTAATATAAAATTTTATATTATCATGATTTGTGATATAAATTTATAAAATATTAAAACTATTACTTTAATTAAAAGATTTAATTCATAATTATATTATTTTTAAAAGAAATAGAAGTTAAAAAATAAGATTTTAGCTAATTAAAGTTCATATATTTTAATATTAAATAGCTTTTAAATTTAAATTAAAATTACATTACTTAGAAATAAATCAATTTTTTGTAATTCATATATAAGAATGAGAACATTTAAAAAATTTTAAAGTTTAATCTCTATTTTTAATTGGTAAAAAAATTCTAAAAATTTATTATTTAACTTTATTTTTTTTTTTATATTTTAATTAATATTATAATGATAATAATTCTTCATAATTATTAGTTTGTAATGTTTAAATCACATTATATTATAAAATATTAAAAATTATATACTTATATATAGAGGTAAAATATTTCTATTAATTATATATTATTTCTATTAAAATTTATTTATATAATTAAAATTCTAAATTATAGTAATTTAAACAATAATAAATATGTATAATATTTGTGTAATTTTTTAATTTTGAGTTGTAAATTTATATCATAAGTTTATATTATTATACTTACTAGTTTTTTAATAGATAAAATTATAAATAATTATGATTAATTATAATTAACTACTTGCAAATACTTGTTTACAGTAATAAAAATATTTATTTTATATTTTAAAGTAATTAAAATAAGTAAAATCTAAAGATTAATATTTACTTGTATTATAATATATAAGATAATTATATTTATTAATAAATTCTTTCAAAAATCAAGAAAAATATAATTAGATTATTCAATAATATAATTTTGTAATTTATGGTTAATACTTTTTTAAAAAATAATTTGCTATTAACTTTTTTCGTGTAAATTTGTAATAATAGGGGCAAGTGCCGAGATATTATTTTAATATGGTTTGAATAACAAAAAAATGGTCTGATTAAATTTGTAATATAAGGATGGAAATTTATCGTGTTGAAATTTTTTAAAAACGACTGGTCGGACGATCCATCAGTTCGGAGATTTAGTTCGAAATTAGAAACTTTAACAGTGGGAATAGGAAGGATTTTCCTGATTTTATTAATACGAAACAAAACAAATCTTTGTTAACAAAAATTGAACTATCCTTATATATTCACCATTATGGAAACTCAATCATGCAAACCCAAGTTGCGTCATCAACCACCCTATTAATTTGAACAAATTAATAAATCATACCAGTTTTTATAACAAGTTTTTTTATCATATTTGTCTGTTATGCCAACTTTCGTTGAACGTTTCCCAATGAAAGTTATTTGCGTCATTACACAATATGATCCAGATTCAATACAAGATTTTTATGAATGAAAGAAACCAAGAAAAAATATCGTTAAGTTTACTATTGTTTTATATTACCTATTATGAACCAGAATCTAAATTTACCCCTTCAAAAGATAAAATTAAAAAAGTAATGTAATCATACTTATATAGAATTTGATTTAGCTAGAATGGTAATGATTAGTAACACCAAATATAAACATAAATCACAAACATTCTAAAATTTTATAAAACATTCTCAAATGTCATATCACATATAGTTCCTTTTATTCATAAATGTGATATAATAAGTATCATTTGGCGGAAAAAAAAAATTAACTATAAAATCAGACCCCCCTTTTTTCTTTTTTTTTTTTTTTTTTTTTTTTTCACCAACGTTCATCCGCACATATTATTATTATTATTATTTTTTTTTTTTTTTGAATGTAACGATTGTTATTTATCTTTTTAAATTTATAATTTAAAATCTCCCTATCCTCTTCATCATTTACGTTCATTAATTTACAGGTTAAAATACGTAGTGCTTCAAAATATTGAAAAAGATAAAACATGAATTATATTTTATAAAATAATCTGTTTTATATTTTAGAAAAAAAAAAAAATAATAATACAATCCTCCATCAAAATTTTCATTTCATAATTAAACACATTTATTTTAAATAAGACACACCAATAATAAACCCAAATATTACATATGTATTAATATTGTCATATCACAAGTCATAAACAATAAATAATAATGACACAAACAATATCACAACAAAATAAACCATCATTTACGTTAAATTGTAAAGAAGAAGAAGAGAGCTGGGATGATATAGAATTTCCTGATTCTGGATTATTTTATACTAATAATAATGAAAAAGATTATGGATTATCAACAACGACAAGAGATATGTCCGGAATAACGATACATGATTCTTCAGATGATGATTCTTCGGAAGGTAATAATTGTGATGAAAGTACTTCAGCATCTTCTACATCATCATCATCATCAACCAATAATTCAATTAACAAAGTTAAAGAAATGATGATTAATAGAGGAGTAGTGGCAACAAATGATAAAGATGAATTCAGTGGATTGATTACTAGACTTGTGGGAAAAAATAATAAAGTATTAATCGGAGATGATTGGGATAATGATATGGAAATACCTGAAGATGGATTTGCAAATTTAACAATTACTAGTAATAATAATATTGGCGGTAAAAGGAGTAAATCTAGATGCTCCTCTATTACCGTTACGAGTTGTAACAATATTACTAATAAGGATTATTATGATTTTGATAGTTGGAATGAAGAAGAGGAGGATGATGATAAGAAGATTGTTAATGACAATGATTTTATTACTTCACCGAGACAATTAGTGATAAAACGAATCGAAGATCCTTCTAAAGTATTTTCTACATCCAAGGATACAAAGGGTAAATCGGTAGAAAGTTTCGATGATGACTTTGATTTTTCCGAGGTGGATTTAAATAGATTGAATTTATCCGCTGAAATGTTAAAATTTTATCAAGAATCTGATCATGAAGTAATTGATAAGGATCCATTTGGTTCGGAAAAACTCTCTTCAAGAAATTCATCGCGTCTTTCTATATTACCAAGTCCAGCACCAACAAATAGTTCACAAAGCGCTTTCGAAAGCGGTGAAGAAGAAGAATTGTTTGACGATTTACAATTTCCTGAACATATGGATTCTTTAACTTTGTCTCCTCACTTAAAACCCAATAGCACTAATGGTAATGATGTTCACGATACTATTAATTATAAAGATGATGATGATGATCTCGAGAACGGATTAGATATTGAAGATGAAAGCGCTTTTGCTCCTGATAAGTTAAAAAATAAAAATATAATTACCCGTCCTAGTACTACACAATCAAAACGAACGCGGCGTGAATCATTCACAATTGAATTTGCTCCTTCTCAAATTATCAACAATCTATCCGAAAGTGATCATTTAACTGCAACACAGGAACTTCGTACTCCAGATATAACATCAAGAGAAGAATTATTATATTGTAAAGGTTCTTCTTCTGAATCCACTGTTTCTATTACTTCTACTCTTTCGAAGGATAGTCGACCTTCTACTCCATTACCATCAAAGACTGCAGAAGCATCTACTAGAAGACATCCTTCTCCAATTACTTTTGTCAAAAATAAGGTTTATCCAAATACTGGAGGGAAGAAATCTAATAATGGCGATAATAATAGTTATAGAAATATTCATAGTAGTACTCCTCCGGTTTCATCTTTGCATAGGTTGAAAACAAATAAAGTTTTCTCGAAAAGTCTTACTTCATTAACGACAACGACAACAGCAAGTACATCAAATTTTAAACAAAATGCTTCATCAAAAAGTCAAAAAAATCCAAAGAGCCCTAATCTTACTGTTAAAGGTGTAATACCACCTAATAATAATAATACTTCTCAAGTTAAAGCAAAGCGTTCAATAATCACCAATACCACCAATAGTACTAATAATAAAACGACATCTAAGAAAACTGCTATTGGTAATACTACTTCTACAACTTCTATTAAAACGAAGTCAATTAAAGCAAACTGTTCTACTCTACTAAATAAACACAATAATAATAATAATAATAATAAAAATAATAATAATCGTCCTATGTTATTAAAAACAAATCCAATGCCTTCTTCATTTAATAATCTAAACAATTTACATGCACCTTCGAAAAGAAGATTTCAACAAAATACTACCTTTAATACTACATCTACATTGGTTGATTCTATATTAGAAATTATGCGTAAGCCTAGAAGACAACAAAGTTTTGGTGATGGAACTGAATTGGATGTTTTTGATGATTTACCAGTTAATCTAGATAGGGAGTGTTCAAGTAATCCTACCAATAATAATACGAAACAAGATAGAAAGAATAGTACTTCTTCTGCTGGTTCGAATCACGATAATCTTCATCAAGGACGAAAAAAGAAAAATCGTAAAGGGAAAAAACCACAATTAATTAGGAACCTCAATCTTGATAAGAATACAAAAGCTGTAGGTGAAATGGTTTATAATCCGATAACACAGCGTTGGGATGGAAATGAATCTGTATTAAAAGAATTTGATAATGCTAATTCTCCTACCCGTCCTGCTCTAATTTCAAATATGAATTATCATTCAACAAATACAAAATCTCTTCAACTCGTTGGTAATATGAAATTTGATCCAACAAAAATGTGTTGGAATAATGATTATTCTGACGATGACGCAATTTGGGATTCTGATTCCGGAAATGATTCCAAAGAAAAAGAAGACATTGACAGTGATGATTTTTGTAATTTCAATTCTCTTCAAGCATTTAGTGATAATGACATTTCTTATTCTAGTATTAAAATAAAAAAAAATAGATTAATACATCAAAATAGAAATACTGATTCCACTGGAGGTGATAGTAATGATTTTCAAGTTGGCTCAGAATTTGATATTACTCCTGGATTTAAAGCTGCTTTGTTAGCTTCCGAGAGACAACATCGTAATGAAATTTCTCGATGGTACCCCGGTGCTTTAAGCAAGGATAATGATTCTAGATTTGGTTTGAGAGATGTTACATTGCAAAGGAGTTATCTTTATGAATTAAGGAATAATAAACCGTCGTCTGGTAATAATTCAAAAATCAATCATGATAGATCTGGCGGACTTTTTGAAGCTGCCATGAATTTAACAAGACATGAACGAAGACATTTCCGTTAAAAAAAAAAAAAAAAAAAATTGTATTTTATTTTTTTTTTCGTTTTTGTATTTTTATTTATTATGTACTTCATTATGCGTGTACTTTTATTTATTATGAAAATTTTTCTCCCTCTTTTTCCTTCATTTGTAAATATCTTATCAACCTTACACTTTATCATATAACGAACATTTATTGTCATTTACAAGATATTATAACAGATTGTATATTATAATAAATAATTTCATATCCAACAATTTCTTTTTATCAAATGAATTAATGATTAGGAGTTGCTTGATATTAATTTTAGCGCATAGGTTGTTCAAAGGTCATAAACGAGGAAACGAGAAATATGTAACATGTCTCATTCAATGAGAATTAGAGATGATAATTTTGTATTTGTGGAAGTGGAAATTTTATTTAAGTAAATAATTATATGGCTTTCAGATTTAACCTTAAAGTCTAAAAATCGAAGTCATTACGTAATGTTATCCAGATGACCATGGGCTAGTCCATGGAGAAGTGGTGATTGAAATTTATATATTACATTATTAGAATTTTTTAATAGTAATTTAAAGTTCCAACTCCTTGACTGATAGGGCTTTGGTTAGAACTAAACTATAAATAATTAATTGATATTGTAATATAATTGAAAAATTTGCCTATTTGACAAATTAACAATGACATGCTTAGTATTCGCACAAAAAAAAAAAAAAAAAAAAAAAAATTCTTGATTATTCAAACGAAAATAATAGAAACTACCAACCTTCGTTTATATATTTCATGTGAAAATTTCAAAAATCAAGAGATCAATCAACTGTGATACCTTTTTTTGTAAATTATAAACTTTTATCATATACCAATATCTCCGGTAAAATCTTGTTTTGCCCAATATGGCCATTCAGTTTCATATTTCCATCCATCACCTTCATATTTCAACGCATGTAACCAAATAAATAATTGATGAGGTTCAGGATCTGGAAGATTTTGCATGGTGCATACTTCGCATTGTTCTAGTAATTTATTATTTTCAGTACATTTAATATGTTCCTGTTGTTTTAATGATGTGGGCGAATCCAAATTAAGATATTCATCTTGATTTATTCCTTCTTTCATAAGATTATCAACAACAGATTTTGTCAAATTTTCATCAATTCCACCTTTTCCTGTTTGTTGACCCCAGGCACGGTGGTTATATAAAGGATCGTTAGCAATTACGTGACCCAAATACTGAAGATGAACACGAATTTGATGTGTTCGACCTGTAATCGGTTTACCTATTATAATATCAATAATAATAATAATAATAATAATAAATACTTCATAAATTTCAAAGAAACTGTTAATTTTATGTTCGATATAAAACCTTACATCTAACGACGCTCGTTCGTCCATTGTAACTCTCACGATGAAATATGGTTTCGCAAGGTTTTCCATTCGGATGAACAACATTTAACCCAAGTTTATGTGATACGGTTATAATTGGTTTATCACACATTACATCCTCCCTATAAAGTAAAGGAAATTAATAAAAGGTAGGTCCATAAGTTTTACGAAATTCTTAAGTAAACGCACGTAGGAAATTCTCCAATAACACGACAAAGGTATTCTTTACGAATTTTTCGTTCTTGCATTAATTGTTCAAATTCTTGGGCCCTTTTTTTATTTATAGCTAAAAACATTATTCCCGATGTTAAACGATCAATTCTATTCAAAGCTGTGATGAAAGAGAATATGATAAATGATAATTCACAAAAATAATTTTAAAAACGGTGAATTGTTTTGATGACTTACTATAAAGGTTCGTAAATCCAAAATCTTTTTGTAAAATATGTAAAACAGTATTATGTCGATACCTTTGAATATAGGATAATTAGATGTAAACCGCAAAAAATCATTATCTTAAAACAATTTTAGACGATAATACGAACCTTCCGGAGGGATGAACCTATTATGCGATAAGCAATAACATAATGAATTATAAGATAAAATATAATTTTTTTACACAGTACAACAAAATACTTACAGGTACACTTCCTGGCTTATCTATTACAATTAAATCATTTTCAGTACTTATTATTTTTATTTGAGCAGCCGTAATTGGAGGTTCATGTCTATGAATTTTATGTCTAATAATATCTTGATTTTTAACAATTGTTTCTTTTGTAATAATTTTCTCGTTGATTGTAATTAGACCTGTCTCAATCGCATAGGCCTAAAAGAAATTGTCTTTATTTTCTTTCTATCATTAAGCAACAACAAGTGATAATTAAAAAAATATCTTACATAATATTCTGCTGGTCTGTCACGAAATTCCTTACAGAAAACATCAAAAATACTACGTCCCAACCATCTCCCCTTTGCAAATGCTTGATATTCATAATAATAAGGCTTTACTTTACGAAGATCTCAAAGAAATAAACTTTACTCATTAATTAATTTTTAAAAAACGGTAAATTGCGCACAAAAGGTTTTTTTGTTACCTTTCTCAAAATAATATATCACACTATCCAAATTTTTATTCTCTTCGATAAAGGCCTGTCTACTCATTTGTAAAGGTTTATTCTTTAATTTTGACACATTAAGAGGATCTATGTTATCTAATTTACGTTTTTTTATCGGTAATTTTTCCTTATTGAGAGATTCATTATTATCTGTGTTGAGATATATTACACTTGTATGTCGCGTCAATTTATTATCAGTTTTTACTCGATTATGTTCCATGTTACCTACTAAAGAAACGTGAATTTTATATTTAAAAAATAAAAAATTTAACCAATTTTACCGAAAATACCTTACAAGACATTGGCTCTGAATAGTGATCTAACACAAAAACGGAATGAAAAAGAAATCTTTAAACTTTCCCAGCTTTTTAAACTTGCCACGATTTTAGAAACAAAAATATACTTTATTATTTTATTGATTATTAGAATATAAAAAATTTTATTTCAATAGAATTTTTTGAAAGTGATCTTATCATCTTATAATTAGAAAAACTATGTTTTAATATTAACTCCAGAAAAAATTGGAATAAGGTTTTCATAATTTTGATAATTCTGACTACACTAATTGCCCGGTGTATTTCCAAATTTGGAAATCAAATCTAGAATATTCTTTAATCACGCCTTAAAATTTAATTGGTGTTTGATCGTCATACATAATTTTTTTTTTTATAAAAAATAACTATCGAAATATATTCTTTTAGGTATGTAATTTCATAATCCACGCTGATCCACGAATTACAAAATTATTTTTAGACTAAAATACACTTTTTTTACATATATATATGTTATTTAGCAATGACAACTTCAAAACCGGAAGCTAAAAACTTACCTTACATATTCAATTCTATCGTTAGTAAATATCCAGGAAGCCAACTAGTACCATGTGAAACAGAGATGGTGACATTGTCAACGGAGCAATTGACCAGTCATAATGAAGTCACGTGGATGACGCAGTATAACGATCTTTTAATCCAGAATTCTGAGAATACTGAGAATCCTGCGAATTCTGAGAATTCTGAAAATACGGAGGATCTACGTAATTCTGAAGATCTTCCAAATACTGAGGATAATGCTAATTTTGCGAATT